AAAGCACATCAAGCTTGCATTGCACCCGGGAAATCGGAGCGGCCATTGCAAACATTTCAGTGGGTGCGTCCTTGAGGAGTTCCGCCCGAACTCTGCGCGATTTATGGAATATATGTGCATAATAGAGCAGACGTAGGCTTACACCGTGCTTCACTGTTGCTTGCCACCGATCGTTTCTATTATTAACTGTTTTTTTCGTCGCAGGTACATTGGTGTGTGTTGCCCGGATAGCATTGCGACAGCTCGATCGGAAAAAACATTTCACGATGATTTAGCCAGCACGTTACCGGCGATAGCAAGTATGTATTATTTCTATTTGTTTGTTTTTAGAAACAAATATTATTTGGTAAATTAATTAAAAATTATTTTTTTTACGATATTAGGAATTAGACAGTAACCCTCATTTTAGTTAAATAATACGATCGTGTATACGTATATACTTTTATTTATTTATGTCAGACTACTCGCATACGTGCAGTAAATGCACGTGCACTTTCTTGACAAATATCTATCTTTTCTTCGTGGTATCAAGTATCCGCTTAGCTGAACGAGAGTACCACGTGTGTGCACTTCAAATTCTTCGTTTTCCTTCCGCAGGTCTCGATGACGATGGTGAAGAGTGGGACGAAACCCAAGAGAACAAGGATGAAAACGGGCCATCTACCAACAAGGCAAACGGCGAAACCGATTTGCGAAAAGACGCGATATCGGGGAAGCAAGAGACGAGGAAACCACGAAGACCTAGAGGATGTGGCACAACCGCGAGAACAACGACCAGAGTCGCGGGTGGCAAGCCGGCTGACCCTAAAGAGTGGCCGTGGATGGTGGCTCTTCTTAGACAAGGTGCGATTCAATATTGCGGGGGTGTGCTCATCACCGACAGGCATGTACTTACCGCCGCACACTGCGTTTACAGGTATACTACTAACTTCGATAATTATTTTATCGATGCCTCTTTTAGGAATTCAGTTAATCACACAATAATTTTTAATAAATTACCACGCCACCAATTACCGCGTCTGACTCTTAACGCCTTCTTATTTGTCAAGTCTTTTCAAGAGTCATCGTGATATATTATTTGTCCAATTATTTTATTTTTTTATAACATTTCAACAGTGTGTTCAGATTCAGTATTCATTAATATATTTTTTACCTAAATGTTCATTAAGATTTCTAATCCTTTTCGTAAAGAGATTAATTATCAAAATAAACAAATTTTTAATACCTCGATTATATCCCTCGTGAGTATCAAGCTATTTTGTTATTATAATACATTAAGCAAAAATTCTTGACTTGACTTTGATTATAATTTTCTTCACATATAAATCAATACTGTGTTGTATTTTATATTAATGTTAATATTATTTGTATAATGATGATAGAAAATTGATTCGAACTACATTAAGAGGAAGAATTGCGAATAAGAAGAGTTGCAATAAAGAAAGAAATATACGCACGCAATATTCATTTGCAATATTCATTTTAGGGCACGTATACGTCTTCAAAGTTTACGAGCAAAGATTACGATTCAGGCGGTATTTCAGGTGGAACAACGTTCATATTCTTGCGGTTATGCGGCAATCGCGCTTAGACTTTATAATGTTTTCGGCGTGCCGTCATATTTTATATTTTCGTTCGAGGCTCTAACGCACGAAACACGTTCGCTTTGTCCACTTGTCGTAACTACGAAGTGAACAGTTAGACGGTGGATCGGAATAACGAATTACAGTTATACCCGTGTCGCGCCTGTCGTCTTTTATAGATATAAACCACGCGACATCACCGTGAGACTCGGCGAGTACGATTTCACCACATCCGAAGAGACACGGGCGATGGATTTCATGGTATCCGAGATACGTATGCACCGGGACTTCAAACAGAACACCTACGAGAACGACATCGCTATCATTAAGATTCATCGGCCCACCGTGTTTAACAGCTACATCTGGCCCATCTGTCTTCCGCCCATTCAGCAATCGTTTGAGCATAAAAACGCCATCGTTATCGGTTAGCGCAAACAAATCCTATTATTTCTGAAGTATATAAAGTATTAAAAAAAATAATAATCATCCATTAATTTTTTT